TGCAATGTTTGTTGTCTTCTAGACGGAACATTGTAAGCAAAGAACGGGAGATCTGGCTAGCCCGAAACTGGCCGGCGCATAGAAGATCTCAGGGAGACCATCCTACATGCATCGATTACCACATGCAATTACTTATAACTGACCCACAGTTGAATGATGCAAATAAAAGGCCTTGAAGGCATTGCGCGGGAAGTGCAATATTCCGCCAGCATATGGACGCGTCAGACCTGGTATTGCTTATATTCTGCACTGCCGCATTTAAAGACACAACGGCACCGATATGGTGCATGGCCCCCAACTACGTTTTGCAAGACTGCGGATCGTATCATTCGTTGAATGGTGCTAAGGGATTTTACTGGTGGGGCAACACACAGGATGTAGAGCAAGAAGACACTGAAAACAGATAAATTTCTGTCGAAGGTCTGTCATTTTGCAAAGAATATGAGCGCGACAATGAACAAAAAAACGAATGCGATTTTCAAAATATAACAGACTTTGAATATAGGGTCGTTGGTAAGTTTCCATTAAGGCAGAAAATAAATGAAATTGCAAACTATTGGAAAGGTGAATAATAAGTGATTTTTACAGTCACACTGAACTTTGGGGTATATTTTTGGAGTTGCCGTCTACATCGGGCTCCTACGCCATATCTTTTGCGGTACAAAACTGCACAGTTAACTATCTATAATTTTAGGGAATTAGAATGTTTCCAATTTTTCTAAAATAACCTGGCCTATTTGCACCTTGTATCATGCCGTCTGTGGTAGGCGGAAGAGCAAGATTTAAGTTTGCGAATAAAGTTCTGTAAAGGTTTAAGTCTTGGGATATGAGTACTGATGTCCGCACACAGAAGAAACAGCCATCTGTAAGTGAAATGATTAGGAAGATATTGGAACGTTGATTTGATCGATGTGGTAAACTGTTGTAGGACATTGTGGGCCGGACGTCTTTTCGGGCCAAATTTGTCGCTTTGCATATACCTAGACACTATTAACCAATGAAGACCGATGTTTAAGATGAAGCAAAGTCAACACTGCCTGGTCTAGTAAACGCAAGCATTGCCACGATGATGACAAGTTCTTCTAAGTAATAAACTAACGACTCCCACCAAACGCGTCAATGAACCTGGTGGATACTCCCGAATCGCCGCACCTGCCACCGCCGAACTCGGCAAGTAAGCCACACCCTGTCATCCGATCTTGACCGGTCGATAAAAACCAGACAAGGGTGTCAGGCGCGTGGTGCGTATGTCTGCACGTCCGGTAGAACCCGAAATAATCCCAAAAATTCCCTACCGCCCACAAGGAAAATATCCCACGGAGAGGGCTACAGGTATTCCCCTAGGGGGCCCAGGTTAACTGGGGTCGTTTTCTCAATAAGAAGCCGTCACCCCTTGTGCAATTTGCCAGGCGACTTGGATTGGTTGATTAAGCATTCCTATTTACAGGTAGCATTGTCTATCCTATCGTGGCTTGTGCACGCACAATTGCGGCAGACTGCAGTGTTTGTTGTCTTTCAGACGGAAAACAGTGCGGAAAGTATGAGAGATCAAGTCGCCCGGAAACTGGCCGGATGCGGTCGGCACATACGAGATCTCAGTGAGATCATCCCGAATGCATCCTTTACCACATGCAACTAGTGATACTTGACCCACAGTTGTATGAGGCAAATAAAGGACCTTGAGGGAATTGAGCCTGTACTGCGATATCAGCATGCATATGGGCGTGTCAGACATGATTTTGCCTAAAGTCGGCATTGTCGCCTTTAAAGTGACAATATTGCACAGTTCTACTATCTAGGATGTTTGGGAAGGAAAACGTCACCATTTATCTGAATATAACATGGCCTTCTTTCACCTTTCATCATGCCGTCTGCGGCAAGTTGAAGGTCAAGTCTTAAGTTGCGAATAGGGCTGTGTACATTTGTACTTTTTGATGAATAATCTTAACTATTTTCGCGCGCTAGTGCACCTTGCAAGGCGCATGCACTGCAATGCAGAATCCGAACCTGACATACGCCTGAGCCATATCACATCATACGCCACTGCCCAGCCGGTGTTCTGCCGCTGCATAATCGATGGCGAAATTGACGAAGAACAGGTCACCCACCGCTTCGGTTACTCGCAGTCGGCAATACGCTCTCGGCAATCTGTTGCACTACTGTCGCCGATATTTCCTTGGCGTGCTTAACGGCAATTAATTAAAGGCATGTGTTCCCACCTGTTACTTCTCTGCGAGCAATCGGTGCGTCGATAGTAAGGCAGACGCAGCCTACGCACTAGAAAGGCAAATTTGTAGGTGATCGGATACAGACGGACCGTCGTAGCTAAAGGGGGCTTCAGTATATTTCTATTCCATCGGAGCTTGGTCGCACAAATTATGAGCTGTGGCGAAGGAGCGGCTCATGAAAGGCTGATCTCTACGACGTAAGGAGTGCGGCTGATATTACCCGTCCTCCACTATCACTCAGGATATCAAAATCTTCACATCAGTCCAATGAGAGTGTGTAGGCACACCATTACTATTGTATGAAAGTGGAACTGAATGTCCCCATTTCTTCAATGTTCTTGTGCGGATAGTATACAGGTGGGTGGCAGTCATCTGCTAATCCGCGACTTATCCTGGTTTCTGAATGGAACACCACAAATATATTCCAACACTTGATGCATGAAATGCGCCCGTTGAGAGTATTTCCAAATCTGCCTCTCAAGGAAGCAAACGACGAATTACTTTACTCAAAATGTACGACGCATAATAGACGAATCTGCAGACCTAAGTTCTCACCAAATTATACAGAAGAACCAGCATTTTGCCATATTGACAGACCTGTTCCGAAGAACTCTGCCCGTACCAATCAGGAAAACACGGATGAGACTGTAGAGGACAGCCATAATGGCTACGTAGCGCCTCTCGCTAGCGCCAGCCTGCTATGTCACGCACGTCTGCCCGGCTTCGATTTGTTTCGTTGCAATTCACTGTCTGCATCACGCATTCGGACGATTCTCTGCCTGCACCACGCGAGGCTTTTCATTACCTTCGCGTGGGCTCGGCGCCAATCAACGCAACTCCTGTCGCTGAGTCATAGGACAGGCTGGAACAGTCCAGAACGCTAGCGTAAACAATTTGCCACGACACTTGCAGCGGCGACCTTCGGCGACACAGAACTCGTCGCTGTCGCGGACGTCGCCTCCGCGGCGCCGGACGCACCCTCGTCCGGTCGCCAAATTCTCTCCACTATTCTGAACAGAATAAAGTGTCCTAACCAAATGGCGTCCTGCTTCTAACAACTTGGGATATGGCCTGAAGTGGTGGCGTACTGAGCGTACACCATCACCGCTTAGCCGCTACAAGACGAACGGATTTCAGCCAAAGCTTCCGAGTGAAATCCACCAAATCCGATACAACAAGCTTAAGCTAACGTCCTTTCAATTAGGCGGTTTAAAAGCTGCTGCGAACACTTGTCGGAGAAGTGGGGGTTAGGGTAGAACAGAGACACCCTTAACAGAACCCTGTCGATTGGTTGGACGTGCGGTGCGTGGCGCAGGTTTCCAGCAGCTCTGGACTTGTCATCTTGTCGGCACGCCACGCAACACATTGAGACCACCAGGGTCGCGGCAAATATCATTGGCTAGTAGGTGAGTTTCATAATTTTAATCATTTGATCGTCCACACTCGTTCTCCTTCAACCCTTATTTTAACCAACAATTTACCCACCCTGATAACTACGTCCTATGACATTATTTAGATCACAATCGCAGGGTTCAGCTTCTGCCCACGGCTATTTTCACGAACAATTCAAAACAACCACAGACAAGCACTCAATGGACCATGTTCGTTAGAAGGAATTTATTGTCGCTTGAGTCTGCGCAAACAAAAATGACATACAGTAGCATTGGGCCACACGCCAAGACACAGTGGTTTAAGTGTGATTATGTGGCCGCGGAATCAGTACCAACAGTTACAATAGTACCCTCCGTCTCAGTGCTGGAACAATCGAAAGACGATGGGAAGAAAAAATTTATTTGGTCAGTTAGTTTTACAGGAAAACATCTATAGACCAAATGCAACCGTGACTGCACCAAGCAGGCCGAATGCCGCGCATAAGCGCGCACCGAGTAGAATGCCGCATAGGAACTGCCACATTACGCAAATTTCGGTCTAAAACCAAAGCACAACATGATGTGAAATGGGCGATGTATTTAACTGACTACTTTGCTGCACAAACTTACATCAAACTGTGTATGAACAACGACTACGGTGGACCTCAGGCTTCTCCATGTCTGTCTGCTTAAATATCCATTTAGACTGCTGAAATGGCAATCGATTGGTTGGTTGCCACCATCGACTAGAGGCGTGGGGTAATCGAACCACGAACTAGCTGTTTGGCTCACACACACACAGTAACGTCTTCACTGTTTCATAAGAAAAAGCGAGAATGAAGATATGGAGGCGAAGGCGTTAACATTTTGTGCAACTGATCGACAACCTCTGGCAATTATGCATCTAAATGCTGGCTGCACATGAGGACAAGGCGTTTGCTTCTATGTTACTTCCCAGAACTCATGTCAGAGTAAGAATTTCCATGGAAGTGCCATAAGATTTTTCAGTTTAGGTGTGGCGTTCTTTTCACCACTTTGCAATACATATGAGAGGGAAACATGGGTTGGGTCATCAACGCAAAAAATGAGGACTGGATTCGCATCGTCCCTGCATCTGTCAGTGGTAGATGAGGTGTTGTCGGCGTCGTCCATCAGTCCATTCCGGTCATTAGTCATCCCTCAATTCTGGTCACGTTTAAAACACAGTTTGAGGAACGACAGAAAGTACCTCAGGGTGATTATCAATGGTCCACCCTTATGCATTCAGTTGGATGTGGCCTCAAACCTCACTCTCATCTCAACACCTATTTGGTGCATGATTGGATGGATTCACATGATCACATCTATGGATAGGTGGCTGAATGTTCCTGGATGGGCGAGCTTTAATGTGACCATTCCTTAGATGGCCTCTGTGTAAGTTCTCATAAGTCAAGTCAAAGAAAGAATTTTCATGGAGACTTTATACGATTTTTAGGTTAAAGCCTCACGTCTATTTATCATTTTGCAATAAATATGGATGAAGGAAACAAGGGTTGGTCATTAGCGGGCTTATGCATTCAGTAATATGATTCCACCGTGGGCTCGTTCTAACACCAAATGGCAAGTGAACGAACTGGAACAAACCACGATGAGCAAAGGCTGCCAGGATTCTTCAGTCGCCTTGAGTAGGAGATTGGCCTCAGATGGATTCAACTGAGTGAAACAAGTTTCGTCATCATGCCTACTGAAATGGATGTTCGGGCAATGGCAGTGAATAATGGTGTGTGTCCAGGGCAGTAATTAGATCGATGGAGAAATCAGCGCTGATACGTTCATTGCCAGTAGATTTCCTGATCGCCATCATTGGCGCGGTTCATTTGTAGTAGTTCACTAGCTGGAGAACACCGTCTCACCGGGGAGGCTCAAGTTTTTAGTCGAACACTGTAGATGATGCACGATAAGCTGGCAATCGTTTTGGTCGTAAAGCAGGTTTTGCATTGAACCGAAAACAGAAGGTGATATTCACCCTGGTGCAGGAACCAAGACCGTCTTGATAAACGGATGCGAATCTCTCATGTAGATTCGTCGTCAACTAAGCGGTCAGCTGATGCGATATGACATGAGTCCGGAGATATATTTGAAGATTTTTCAAACACGATTAAGCCGCAATTCCAGTGGGCTGAGTTTTTCAATTGACGTTATTCGGGTCCCATCAGCATTCTTATTTTAGACCAGGAAATTACAAGAAGTCACTGATAATCTGTTTGTCTCCTTACAGACATCGTTCAGATGTTGTGGTCATTACAAACGTAGTTCTAGTCAAAATGCACTTTTTGCATTCTGTAATTTCATGTTTACAAATGGGCATTGGGTCAACGAGTGCTGTGTATAAACATGTAATCATATTATTCAGCATTTCTTCAGTGAAAATGTTATCGATTTCCCAGGGACTCTGTTCGTTTAAGTCATTCTATTCAATAGCGAACTACTGAGAGGATAGAACCTATGAATTGGGCGGTGGTGAGACTGAAGTCCGTCCTGGCATGGCCGTTTCGCTCGACTTGGTTTTAGCGTGGAGTCGCATTACCGATTGCATAAGCCTGCTAAAGGCCAACCCATGTTTCCTTCTCCCATATCTATTGCAAAATGATAAGTAGACGTGAGGCTTTAACTGGAAAATTGTATAATGTCTCTATGAAATTTCTTTCTTTGACTTGAGTTATGAGAACTTACACAGAGGCCATCTAAGGAATCGTCACATTTAAGCTCGCCCATCCAGGAACATTCAGCCATAGATGTGATCATGTGAGTCCGTCCAACCATGCACCAAATATGCGTTCAGATAAGAGTGATGTTCGAGGCCACATCCAGCTGAATGCGTATTGGTGGACCATTGGTAATCATCCTGAGAGAATTTCCGTCGTTGCTCAATCTGTGTTTTAAACGTGACCAGAAATGAGGGACAACCAATGACTGGAATGGACTGATGGACGAGGCCGACAACACCTCGTCTGCCTCTGACAGGTGCAGGGACGATGCGAATCCAGTCCCCATTTTTTGCATCGATGACCTAACCCATGTTTCCTTCTCTCATATGTATTGCAACGTGGTGAAAAGAACGCCACACCTTAACTGAAAAATCTTATGGCACTTCCATGGAAATTCTTACTCTGACATGAGTTCTGTGAAGAAGCATAGAGGCAAACGCCTTGCTCTCATGTGCAGCCGGAATTTAGATGCATAATTACCAAATGTTGTCAATCAGTTACACAAAATGCAAACGCCTTCATTTCCTTATCTGCATTCTCTTTTTTTCCTTTGAAACAGTGAAGACGTGAAGCAAGCCCTTTTTCGCGAATCTGTACATCAACCCACGTTACTGTGTGGTGTGTGTGAACCAAACAGTTAGTTCGTGATTGGATTACTACACGCCTCTAGTCGATAGTGGCAACCAACCAATCGATTGCCATTTCAGCAGTCCAAATGGATATTTAAGCAGACAGAAGCGGAGAGGCCTGAGGGCTCCCGTAGTCGTTGATCATACACAGTTTGAGGTGCGTTCGTGCAGCTAAGTAGTCAGTTAAATACATCGCCCATTTCACATCATGTTTTGTTTTTGTTTTAGACGAAATTTGCGTGATGTGGCAACTTCAATTCGGCATTCTACTCGGTGCGTGCTTATTCGCGGCATACGGCCTGCTTGGTGCAGTCAGGTTCGCGCTTAGCCTACAGTTTCCCTGAAAAACTAACTGACCATATAAATTTTTTCTTCCCATCGTCTTTTGATTGTTCCAGCACTGAGACCGAGGGAACTACTATAACTGTTGGTACTGATTCCGCGACCACATAGTCACACTCAAAACAGTGTCCTAGCGTGTGGCCCAATGCTACTGCATGTCATTCTTGCTTGCGTAGACTGTGAAGCTGTCAGAGAACGTAAGCGACAATATAGTCCTTCTAACGAGCATGTTCCATTGAATGCCTGTCTGTGGTTATGTTGAATTGTTCGTGAAAATAGCCGTGTTCAGAGCTTGAACCCTGCGATTGTGATCTAAATTATGTTATAGAACGTAGTCATCAGGGTGGGTAAATTATGGTTTGAAATAAGGGTTGAAGGCGAACGAGTGTGGTCGATCAAATGATTTAAATTATAAATCTCACCTACTGGCCAATGATGTTGGCCGCGACTGTGGTGGTCTCACTGTGTTGCATGGCGTTTCGGCAAGATGACAAGTTCAGAGCTGCTGGAAACCTGCGCCACGCACCGCACGTCCAACCAATCGACAGGGTTTGGTTTAGGGTGGACTCTGTTCTACCCTAACCACCTCTTCTCCGACAAGTGTTCGCAGTAGCTTTTAAACCGCCTAATTGAGAGGACGTTAGCATAAGCTTGTTGTATCGGATTTGGTGGATTTCACTCAGAAGCTTTGGCTGAAATACGTTCGTATCATCCGTTTTTTCCTGATTACTACCGGCAGAGTTGTTCGGAACAGGTATGTCAATATGGCAAAATGCTGGTCCTTCCGTATATTTTGGTGAGAAATTAGGTCTGCGCGTTCGTCGATTTTGCGTCCTACAATTTGAGTACAGTAAATCAACGCTTGCTTCTTTGGGAGGCAGATTTGTAAATACTCTCAACGGGTACATTTCATGCATCAAGTGCTGGAATATATTTGCAGTGTTCCATTCAGAAACCATGATAAGTCGCGGATTAACGGATGACTGTCACCCACCTGTATACTGTCCGCACAAAAACAGTGATGAAATGGGGACATTCAGTTCGGATTTCATAAAATATTGATGGTGTGCGAGCGCAAATGTGACGATTCCTCTGATGTCATTCGACGCAAGGATTAGTATACCTCACCAATCGCCCATAACTTCAACCCCATGGATTTGTTTCGATTGAAAAACTCAGCCTACTGTACGTGCTTCTTAAAGGTGTCTGAAAAACTTTCAAATATGTCTCCGGACTCATGTCATATCGCATCAGCTAACCGCTTAGTTGACGTCAAATCCACATGAGAGATTCGCATCCGTTTATCAAGACGGTCTTGGTTCCAGCACCAAGGTGAATGTCACTTTCTGTTTTCGGTCCAATGCAAAACCTGTTTTACGACCAAAACGATTGGTACTTACAGTGATCGACTAAGAACTTGAACCTCCCCGGTGAGACGTCGCTCTCCAGCCAGTGAACTACTACAAATGAACCGCGCCAATGGTGGCGGTCAGGAAAACCACTGGCAACGTTCGTCTCTGCACTGATTTCTCCATTGATCTAAGTACTGCTCTGGACACACGCCATCATTCACTGCCATTGCCGGAACATCCATGTTACTAGGCCTAATTAGGTTGAATCCATCTGAGGCCTATCTCCTAATCAAGATGACTGAAGAGACCTTGCAGCTTCTGCTGATTAATGGTCATCGTGGTTTGTGCCAGTTCGTCCAGTTGCAATTTGGTGTTAGAAATGTTCTCGTAATTTTCCAGCAAGTACTGCATACCATGCTGATGGGCAAAGGCAAGGCTGCTGTCTACCATGAGAGCCAACTGAATGCCTGCAATGTCCACAGGCCGTATTCGGCTGGATACAAGACTATGACTTACGCCTGCGTCTGGGCAAATGCAATTGCCTTCTGCCCTCCGTCAGGCAACGCAAGTTTAATTTCTCAATTATAATTGTCCTCTGTGCACGGATAATACTGACTTCATCTTGAAGATGTCTCTGTTATTATGGAATGGTCGACAACTTGAAGGCTCCTAACGCAGAAGATTAACACATTGAACACTTCAGTCTTTAGTCCACCACAAACTTTGACGCATACGAGGACATCCAGAAAGGCCAACTGGTTATTCTCTTTTTTCTCTATCGTAAATTTTATGTCCGGTAAGACCGCATGCAGATGTTCCTAGAATGTACGTACAGAACTTCGGTCTGTGTGTTGGAAGACCAGCAATTCCAACCGTTGCAGGACCGCCTCGGCGATGAATCCCGAATCTGCGAACCCACTGGCGTGCCCTTCACCTGTTCGTAGATTGTCCCGTCGAACGTGAAGGACGTCCTGAGACAGAGCTTCAGGCGCTGAAGCACTTGGGCGTGTCAAAGACGATTTTCCATTTCATCGTATTTGCTTTGTAGAAGCAGCTGGATTGTCTCGATCGCCAGGTCCTGGGGAATAGAAGTAAAAAGGGAGATAACATTAAAAAATGCCATGACCTCATTTGGATGGAGGTTTACCCCTTTGAGTTTCTCCAGGAATTGTGCTGACGACGAGACCGTTGTGTCTGACTCAGCGGTCAGGAACTTGAGACGTCGGAACAGCCACTTAGACAGTCCGTACGTTGGAGTGCCTTTGAGCGACACGATGGGTCGGAGAGGAGCGCCGTCTTTGTGTACCTTAGGGAGGCCGGAGTATCGGGCCAAAACCTTGACTTGGGGTATCGCCATGCGTCTGTCGGTCGGTATTATTGCATCTCAGTTCTCCAAGGCCAACAACGTCGCATTAATTTCGCGTGTCAGCGCTTTTACAGGGTTCGTTGCACATGGGACATACTGTCGGTACTCCAGTAAAACTTTGGCTTTTTGTAGGTAGTCTGTACTGTCCAACTCAACCTTGGAGCGCTCCTTGTCCGCTGGCATGGCGAGCATGTCTTTGCCGGCCTTCAGTTCTCCAAGCGCATCAAGTTCGAACTTGGTGAACATTTCCGCGGCCTGTGGACCATCAGGTGGGACGACACTTGGTGTCGGATGAGGCTCTTAGTCTCCTGCGTGGCCTCCGTCTGACCAAGGATTGATTCCATTTGTGCAATCGTGTTAACGGGTTTGTCTTGGAACATATACTCAAAATGCAGGCTGTTGAAAAACCGCAATATATAAAATTACGCTAATGTTTAATGCATGTTTAGATTTAAACTTCATCAAAACACTATTTTTAAACGTTATTCTGTTTATGATTTCATATTAACTAAGTTTTGTTTACATGGGAAGACATTCTATATATCTAAAAAAGAAGTTTACTAAATTACAGCCATTTTTGATGTTTTCGGAATTTTGAGCTTTTCGTAAAAATCAACATTTCGAAGCAGCATAACGCTGCCTTTAATAATTCCTTTATATTTTTGATTCTATCAAAGTTGCAAACAATTAGCATCGAAATTGTATTCATGAATGGGTATCGGTTTGCGAGTGATTTGCAATCATTAGTGAAGTTGGATACATTTCATGAGATAGCACGCCTACTGTAACTGAATTACTATAGAATTATGTAACAAGATGATTTATTTTAAAACCCTACTTAAGTAAACTTTTCGAAAGGAAAACGCACTTCAGAATATCAGCTAGCGTTTCATGCGTTAGCACACCCACGGTACTTGTGTTTGGCAAAACAGAGGATCACGTGTTACCAACAAAGCGGCATTTTCAAAGCAGAGAAGGGTCGATGCCAGAAACTCCAATTCACTTTCTACTGTAGATAGTACTGTTACACACATCTAGCTTACATGACAAGCACAACCGAAAGGTTCAGTTTCTGACTGGCAACGGATGAAATGGCAGACCCGTCTCCGTTGCAAATCTGTCACTTGCGCCACTATTAAACCGCTGTTCTGCCGCACCCTTATCGATGATGAAATTAACGGAGAGCATGTCACCCACGACTGTACTTACTCGAGGTTGACAGTGTTCCTTCAGAAGTCGGTTGCTACGCTGTCATCGAACTTTTCTCGTCATGTACGACTGCAGTTAATAAAACGCATGAGCGAGGGCCTTCATGCAGTTGAGTCTCGCACACCCGGTGTGAAACTTCCTCAGAACACTTGCTTGCAGTTTTGTGGGACAACGACGCGTCTGAAGAATAGGATACAGTCGTCAACGGTGGATAGAGAATGTTTTGGTTGGTAAAACTGCTGAAATTCCCCCGAAAGTTTGCGGGCCTCTGACTGCGATGGTGTGTGCTTAATTACCTATTTCAGTAAATCAACATGGAGTTTTGCATTTCGGACTTCCTGAAAAGTGACAGGGGTGTCTGCGGGAATGGAGTCCGGAAACAGGCTCTGGTACGCTGAGGCCACTGAGGCGGACATGATGATTGCTCCTTCAGGCTCATTATTTCATGGGTTGATTAGGCGCAGGAGTGTGACTGCTCACCGATTTCCTTTATCGACTGGTACCGGATATCGACACTAGTCGGGCCCCGGCAGCATGCTTATTTTTGACCAAAAATTACAAAAAAACACTGATAGTCTGTTCGAAGGGTGAAATGAAGACTACAGAACATTCTTCTCGTGAAACATGATACTCAAAGACTCATTCTCGATCAGTCCGTAGGGGCGATTTGCGGAAGCTAGACACGGTTGCGGAGTGAGAAGTCTCCTTTTTCTGTACTGTTGAAAGAGACGGGTGCAATCACAGCGCCTCTGTAAAGGCGGCGTCCCCACCATCTGTCTCTCTATCACGTTTACTGCGTGCTTCGCTTTGTCCACTGAATTCAACTACTACCTCCTCCTCCTCTTCCAACTCTTCAATCGCAATGCACACTCAGACCTCTCAGTCTGCCTCTGTACTGACATTATAGGAACATCTGCATGCGGTCTTCCCGGACAAAGGATTTACGATGAAGAAAGAAGAGAACAACTAGCTGGCCTTCCAGGATGTTCTCGTATGCCGCAAAGACTGTCTTGATAAACGGATGCGAATCTCTCATGTATATTTGACGTCAACTTAGCGGTCAGCTGTTGTGATATGACGTGAGTCCGGAGACATAGTTGAACGTTTTTCAGACACCATTAAGCCGCAATTCCAGTGGGTTCCGTTTTTTATCGACGTTAGTCAGGTCCCAGCAGCATGCTTATTTTCCATCAGAAAATTACAAGATGACACTGATTATCTGTTTGTCGTCCTACAGACAACGTTCAGATTCTGTGGTTATCACAAGCCCAGTTTTAATCAAAATGCAATTTTCGGCATCCAGCAATTTCATGTTTACAAATGGGCATTGGATCAACGAGTGCTGTTTATAAACAAATAATCATATTAGTTAGCACTTCTTCAGTGAAAATGTTATAGATTTCCTAAGGCGTCTCGTCGTTTAAATCATTTTATTTAATCTCGAACTACTGAGAGTATATGACCTATCATTTGGCCGGTGTTGGAACTTTATTCCGTTCTGGCGTGGCCGTTTCGCTCGACTTGGTCTTAGCGTGGAGTCGCACTACTGATCGTATAAGGAAGCTAAAGACCAACCCATGTTTACTTTTCTCATGTCTATTGCACAATAAAAAAAAGACTTGAGGCTTCAACTAAAAAATCATAAAGACTCCATGAAAATGCTTTCTTTAACTTGATTTATGAGAAATTCCACAGAGGCCATCTAAGGAATTGTCATGATTAAGTTTGCTCATCCATGAACGTTCAGCCACCTATCCACAGATGTGATTATGCGAGTCCGTCCAACCATGCACCAAATACGCGTTGAGATGAGAGTGATGTTTGAGGCCACATCCAACTGAATGCATATTGGTGAACCATTGATAATCACCCTGAGGTACTTTCAGTCGTTCCTCAAACTGCGTTTTAAACGTGACAAGAATTGAGGGATAACTAATGACCGGAATGGACTAATGGACGACGCCGGCAGCACCCAGTCGGCCTCTGACAGGTTCAGGGGTGATGCGAATCCAACCCTCATTTTTTGCGTTGATGACCCAACCCATGTCTCCTTCTCTCATATGTATTGCAAAATGATGAAAAGAACGCTACGCCTCAACTGAAACATATAATGGCACCTCCATGAAAATTCTTACTCTGACATGACGTCTGGTAAATAGCATAGAGGCGAACGCCTTGCCCTCATGTGCAGCCAGCATTTAGATGCATAATTGCCAGATGTTGTCGATCAGTTGCACAAAATGCTAACGCCCCCCAATTTCCATGTCTTCATTCCCGCTTTTTCTATGAAACAGTGAAGACGTCAAGCAAGCCATTGTCCGCCAAGCTATAAATCAACTCTCGTTACTGTGTGTGAGCCAAACAGCTAGTTCGTGGTTCGATTACTACACGCCTCTAGTCGATGGTGGCAACCAACCAATCGACTGCCGTTTCAGCAGTCCAAATGGATATTTAAGCAGACAGAAGTAGAGAGGCCTGAGGGCCGCCATAGTCGTCGATCATACACAGTTTGAAGTAAGTTTGTGCAGCTTAGTTGTCAGTTCAATATATCGCCCATTTCACCTCATATTCTGTTTTGGTTTTAGTCGGAAATTTGCGTGATGTGGCAATTGCGATTCGGCATTCTGCTCGGTGCTTGCTTGAGCGCGGCATTCGGCCTGCTTGGTGTAGTCGCGTTTGTATTGGCCTAATAAAAAGTTTTCCTGTAAATGTTACTGACCAAATAAATTTTTTCTTCCATCGTCTTTCGATTGTTCTAGCACTCAGACGGAGGGTACTGATTGGTACAGATTCCGCAACCACATAGTCACAATTAAACCACTGTGTCCTAGCGTGTGCCCCAGTGCTACTGTATGTCATTCTTGCTTGCGAATACTGTAAAGATGTCAGGGAACTCATGCGAAATTAAAGTCCTTTTAACGAACATCTTTCATTGAGTGCTTGTCTGTGGTTGTCCTAAATTGTTCGTGAAAATAGCCGTGTTTAGTGCTTGAACCTTGCGATTTTGACCTAAATTACGACATAGGACATAGTCATCAGGATGGGTAAATTTTTAGTTATAATAAGGGTTGAAGGAGAACGAGTATGGAAGATCAAATGATTGAAATCATGAATCTCATCCACAGGCCAATGATGGTGGCTGCAACCATGGTGGTCTCATCCGTGTTTTCCTGATTAGTACGGGCAGAGTTTTTCCGAACGGATCTGTCAACATGGCAAAGTGCTGGTCCATCTGTATAGTTTGGTGAGCAATAACAGTAGATGTGCCAACTCATGAAATGTCAACCAAAATTTCGAAATGCTTTCTCGTTTCGAAAAGATAAATTAAATAGCGTTGTAAAACTATTCATGATGCAGCATGAATCTATAATCATCCAGTTACCCCAGGGTGTCGGCTTTCAAAAGAACTTATTTAAGGTGACATGCAAGATCTATACTCTGCAAAAAATGACTACTTAAGTAGCATGCAATTTTCTCATTGATTTTCGATGACCTTGTAAATTCAATTATATATTTCATGGAAAACATGCATACAAATATCCATTCTTTTACTTATTCGGTAGAAAATCACGTCTTCTTCTAATTTCATACTCAAAAACAGAGTATGAATAGGTTTTTAAAAGGTTTCTAATTGTGAGATTTTTATTACCGTTAAATGGCCGTTCATGAAACGTCAGATATCTGCATTTTCGAATGTGGCTTGTAAAGTTAACAATATTGCTCAAATCAACTGCTTAATTATATGAACCTTATATGGTCTCCTCATAACACTGTAGGGAAATGCATGGTTTTCCGTACAAGGAAAATATGCAGCTTGTAGTCTTAAAACCCTGAATGCAAGTGTAACAGCAGGTCGGGTTCAAAATTATTTGGGAATTAGAAGTTTGCTAAAACCGAATTATACTCTTCTTTTAAGTATGAAATTGGAAGAAGACGTGATTTTCTACCGAATAAGTAAAAGGACGAATATTTTTATGCACGTTTTCCATGAAATATAATTGTATTTTTAAGGGCATCGAAAATCGATGAGAAAATTGCATGCTACATAAATAGTCCTTTTTTGCAGAGTAAAGATCTTGTATTCAGCCAAAAATAAGTTCTTTAAAAGCGACACCCTGATGTAACTGGATCATTATAGATTTATGCTGCATCATGATTAGTTTTACAACACTTCTTACTTTATCTTTTCGAAACGAAAAACGCATTTCGAAATTTTAATCGACATTTCATGAGTTAGCATATATACTGTAGGTCTGCGAATTCGTCGATTGCGCGTTCTACAATTTGAGTACAGTTATTCGAAGTTTGCTTCTTTGTACATACTCTCAATGGTCACATTTCATGCATCAAGCGTTGGAATACATTTGTGGTGTTCCATCCAGAAACAAGGATAAGTCGCGGATTAACGGATGACTGCCACCCACCTGTATACTGTCCGCACAAGAACAATGAAGAAATGGGGACATTCAGTTCCGATTTCATACAATCTTTATGGTGTGCTTACACACTGTCAATGTTCCGATGTGAAGATTTTGATATCCTGAGCGATTATGGAGGTCGGATAATATCAGCCACACTAACTACGTCGTGGAGATCAGCCTTTTATGAGCCGCTCCATCCCGACATTTCATAATTTGAGCGGCCGAGCTTAGATGGAATGCAAAAATGCTGAAGCCCCCTTTAGCTACGACAGTACGTCTGTATCCGATCACCTACAAATGTGCCTTTCTAGTGCGTAGGCTGCGTCTGCCTTAGTATCGACGCACCGATTGCTCGCAGAGAAGTAACAGGTGGGAACACATGCCTTTAATTAATTGCCGTTAAGCACGCCAAGGAAATTTCTGAGACAGTGGTGCAACAGATCGCCGAGCTCGTATTGCCGACTTCGAGTAACCGAAGCGGTGGTTGACCTGTTCTCTGTCAATTTCGCCATCGATTATGCAGCGGCAGAACAGCGGCTGAGCAGTGGCGTAGGATGTGATATGGCGCAGGCGTATGTCAGGTTCGGATTCGGCATTGCAGTGCATGCGACTCGCGAGGTGCACCAGTGCGCGAAACAAGTTAAGATTATTCATCAAAAAGTACAAATTTTCACAGCCCTATTCGCATACTTAAGACTTGACCTTCCACGTGCCGCAGACGGCATGATGAAAGGTAAAAATAGGCCATGTTTTATTCAGAAGAATGGTGACCTTTTCCTTTCCAAAAATCCTAGCTATAAGAACAGTGCAATTTTGTCCCTTTAAAGGCGGCAGAGAAAATGTGGTCTTACACGCCCATATGCAGGCTTATATCGCATTGCAGCCTCAATTCCTTCAAGGCCTTTCATTTCCCTCATACAACTGTGGGTCAAGTATCACTAGTTGCGTGTGGTGATGGATGCATTCGGGATGATCTCACTGAGATCTCGTATGTGCCGGCCGCATCTGGCCAGTTTCCGGGCGACTTGATCTCTCATGCTTTCGGCACTGTTTTCCGTCTGGAAGACAACAAACACTGCAGTCTGCCAGGCTATACGCTGCTTCTCCGGCAGTGGATGAGAAGGCACGGGAATGCGGAGGGGAGAGTGCATGTTTTGTATGTATATTTCGACCGCCATTGTGTGTGCACAAGCCACTAATGGGTAGACAATGCTACCTGTAAATAGGAATGCTTAATCAACCAATCCAGGACGCCTGACAAATTGCACAATGGGTGACGGCTTCTTATTGAGGAAACGACCCCAGTTAACCTGGGCTCCCTAGGGGATTACCTGTAGCCCTCTCAGTGGGGTGTTTTCTTTCGGGGCGGTAGGGAATTGTGGGATTAGTTCGGGTTCTACCGGGTGTGCAGACATACGCACCACGCGCCTGACACCCTCGTCTGGTTTATTAGACTGGTCAGATGTCAGGGTGTGGCCCACTTGCCGTGTACGGCGGTGGAAGGTTCGGCCATTCAGGAGTATCCGCCAGGTTCATTGACGCGTTTGTTGGGAGTCGTTTTTTTATTGCATATGAGAACTTGTCATTATCGTG